CTAAGTATTTTCCTTGTGCCAGTATTTGGCTGGCATAAGCTCATGAACTTCTCACATCAGCATTGAGAGCTGAGTAGCATTATTGCCTCTGTTCCAAACACTGGGAAACATGGGCTCAAAGACACCCACTGCATTGCAGCTACCCTGTGCAGCCTTAATTCACATATAAATGAAATTTTCTCTTTTTTGTTCCCCATGTTTAATTCTAGGTAGTGTGCAACTGAAGTCCTAAAAAAAAAAAATCCGCAAACAGCCCCCAAAAACATTTTTTGAATAAAATTATCATAACTTTTTGCTGCTGGTTATTAAAATAAAGAATTGTCATAGCTCTCAGTATCAGAACTGAAAGGGACAGAGATGCTTTCAACTAACCCTCTGACTTTACTATGTTCTACTTAAGAAAATCAAAATGATATCACAATGTGGAGGAATTCACAGACCAATCAACATCTTTCAGAAAATATAGTTCAAGGTGGTTACTTTCCCAGCTAATATCAATCAGAAGATCTATTTCAAGCTGGTTACTTCCTCATTTAACTTCAATCAGAAAGTGTATTTCCTTGGTGATTACTTGCTCAGATTTCTACATTTTGAGGGCCAAATAATTATAAAACCTCTAAGGTGATATGGTAGGTTCCATTGAATTGACCAGGACATTTGCTTCATTTTCTAAGACCTTGACAAACCACATAGCTGCTCCAGTTTTCTATTTGGGGCTGTACTCTTAACCTGTGTTTGTCCCTCCTGCTTTCTTTTCCAGGACTGCCCACCAGAAGCAGGTGACTTCCGAGCTCAGCAATGCTCAGCTCATAATGACGTCAAGCATCACGGCCAGTTTTATGAATGGCTTCCTGTGTCTAACGACCCTGACAACCCGTGTTCACTCAAGTGCCAAGCCAAAGGAACAGCCCTGGTTGTGGAACTAGCACCTAAGGTCTTAGATGGTACTCGATGCTATACAGAATCTTTGGATATGTGCATCAGTGGTTTATGCCAAGTAAGTGCTGATTTCTTTCCATTCAATTTGTCCAGAAGGTTTTAGTGTCTTTGTAGAAATAGTTTTTGCAGAGTCCCACTATATGAATCACTCATTGTTACCCTTTCTAGACTTTACAAATGGTGACAAATTTAAAAATTGAGGTTTAATTTCAGTGAAAAGTAATTTGAGTGTCTCTTGAAAAAGGAAGAAAAAATATTCTTGAATATTATGTATCATGTACTAGACTTTGAAATTACCTCTAGCTTGGTTATCCCTGAAATGTACGTGTGTGTGTGTATATGTGTGTGAATTTAGAGGCATTGATTTTCTTTTACTTACTTCAGGATAATAAATATTCTTGAATATTATGTATCATGTACTAGACTTTGAAATTACCTCTAGCTTGGTTATCCCTGAAATGTACGTGTGTGTGTATATGTGTGTGAATTTAGAGGCATTGATTTTCTTTTACTTACTTCAGGATAACCCAGGTGAGACTGACTGTAAAATTCCCAAGTAAACTAGGAGAACTTGTCACTTTTTTCTGTAACTCCCAATGTATTGAAAATTCAGACAAACTGTAGAGAAAGGCATGGCAGTGTCTGTAGAGAAAGACATGGCAGTGTCAGCTAGGTTGGATTTCAGCCAGGGATAAAACAGGATAGCAAAGAGGTTTGATTTCTGGTATGAATTCATCGATGTCTCCTTTGGGTAGAGAATTAGTTCGGTGAGGAAGATATAGTATGTTTGCCATGTATTTGCCATCTTTATTTCAAGGTCCACTTTTTTGATTAGAATGACCAACCTAGTTTTCGGAGCAAGCAGTTGCTGTATTTTCCTGTTTGCTACTCTTGACTATATACTTTTCTATTTCACAAAGTAGACGTTTTGAGAATATTTACCTTTCCCAAGACCATATTGGTTGAAATTTTTTCTCTCCAGAGTCTGTAATATCATGAGTAATGTAAGATAAATATAAAATATGTTTCAGTAATTTGTTGTTTTAAATTCATGTTTATTTAAAACTTAAATCTATATCAGATGTGAAAGGAAAAACTAATATAAATTACTACAGGGGATGTGAGATGTCAGGCAAGGTTTTATGTATATAGGAGAAAAACAGACATACTTTAGTTTGTCTTCCTTCGTAAGTTTTAGAATCATGAGGGACACTGGCATGTCCAAGTATTTATCAGATAGGAGAGTGGAGATGACGTATACATATCTGAAGGTTCCTTTTTATACAAGAGATATATGAATTTCAGATATAAATATGAATATAGAATTTTAAAGCTAGAAGGGGCCTTAGAGGTTATCCAATCATTATCCTAAAAAGCAATATATTTGAACATCATTTGCGATATTTGGTATTTACTTCCTCCTCTAAAACTCTCAGTGCTGTTGAAATGGAATTATGGAATCTACAAAAGCTTTGGGAGTAATAGAGAATTGAAAAGTAAATAGATATAGAAAAGGGGCTGTGTTGTAGGAGATGGCAAATCAAAGAGTAATAATTTATTATGTGTGTGTATACTGTTTGAGTCAAGCAAGAAAAAGTCCCATTTTATAAATAAAAAACTGAGGACCAGAACATTTGTGTGATCTTCTAGAAGTTATATGGTTGGTCATGGCAGAAATGGGACTAAATCCAGGTCTCCTGATATTCGGTCTCATGTTGTTTCTACTCCATTACACTGTCGAATGAACCAAAATAAATAAGAAAGGTTAGCAAATTAGGTTTCATTCGTTTCAGTTACATGGGAGTTCAATGTGGCATGTTTTTTCCCTAGACTAATCCTGCCAGCTGGCCTCATGTACCTTGGCAACTGAAAGAGAATCCTATCTCAGCAGCTAAAGGATAAATTTTACGTACAGTAAATATGGAATGATAGTGCTGAACTTTAGGTTACAAGTATTAACATGCCTCCTTAACTTACATTCTTATGAGTGTGCCTTGTTAGATTTGGGGGCAAATATAATACATTTGAAAAGACTTATGACTAATAAATAGAAATTATGACTGATTATTATTTTCTTTATATGTCTTGTTAGAGGCAATCGTATGGTAAAGGTAATTGACTGCATTTAAGCACTAACAAGTAATTTGGTTTGGCTAGAGAGCAGGGTAAGCCCCAGGTACACAGTAAGAGAAGAAAGGTAGTTCAAGGAGGCTTGAATGGCAAACAGGACCAAGTTAGATTAGTGGGTGGCCAAGAAAGACTTTTAGTGATGAAAAGACATCCTCAGAGCTCTGATTTACAAAGATTATTAGAGCTGCAGTTATGGGAGGCCTGTAGCAGAAGGCTCTGGAGGCAGAGGCCGGCCAGAGTGGAGGCTGTTTTAGCAACTGAAATGAGACCAGCGTGAGCATGGGCCAGGGCAGGGGCGGCAGACACGGAGGAAACTGAGTGTAAAACCAGGGAGGAGTTTTCATGTTGGTTATAACTAGGGCAGAGAGTAGAAAGCAATAAATCAAATTACTCATGCTCAGGGAAGCAAAAAGTGCAACTTAAGATGGATTTGGAAGGGATATAATTTTTTTATGGAAACAATCAATTATACATATTTGTGGGGTACAGAGTTGATTATCAATACCTGTGTACAGTATGTGATGATCAAATGATAATTAGCATATTCATCATTACAAAACGTAATCATTCTTTATGTCCATTAACCAATTTCTCACTGGCTCCCTCTTCTTCCCCCTTTCTCCCCTCTAATAACCACAGTTCTGTTTTGGATCCTGTCTACTACTACCGTCATGGCCTGTGTCTTCATAATTAAAACCTACTTGACTTTTATAAAACAAATGGAAGAACAGAAGATAGCAAGGTGGTAGAGGAATAAATATGGCATACTTAAATGCAGCATGTATACTTTCAGAAAGACAAGAGTGAAATTAGTCACCAAAAGAAAAGTTGGAGCACTCAATACTACCTCAAAAAGAGTATAAATGTATAAATTCCATCCTACTTCGAAAACATTCTTTATTTAGGTTGCATCTGTATATACGTGATTAGTATTTTCAGTCATTGGCAATTGGAGCACTCAATACTACCTCAAAAAGAGTATAAATGTATAAATTCCATCCTACTTCAAAAACATTCTTTATTTAGGTTGCATCTGTATATACGTGATTAGTATTTTCAGTCATTGGCAAGAAAAGTTCAGAAAAAGCCTGATTTTCATGTTTTCTAAGACACAGACTTAATGCTAAATTAAATGTGTAGTTTTTATAAACAGCTTCTCCTAGTTTCCTGTATTTTTCCCATGTCTTCCTTTTCTACTCCATTTGTTGAGGATTCTTAGCTTTTTCTCTGGCCTTATTTTTGTCCTATGATAATTTTTTTTTTGTAAGCTGCTTCAAACATTTTTGAGTCTAGGCAGATATAACTCATAAACTATTTAAAATACTCTATTTATGATTCTACTGTATGGCCAGATTCATGAATCATTTATAGATTGGAAAGCAGACAGAATTTAAAATCAAAAGACATGAGTTGGAATCTACCTCTACTTAATGAACTGTGTGATCTTGGTCTAGTCATTTAACCTCCCTAAGTTCTATTTTTCAATCTGTGGGGATTGTCTCAGACCATAAGGCATCAAGTCAGATAATTCATGTAGAAATGTAGAAGACCCTGAAAATTTTGAGTTGGAAAATGCATTAAAGTAGTGGTTCCCTGTATGGGATTTTATTACCCTGTGACATTTCAAAAAAGTTTACAGAGTGAGATAAAGTGATCAGCTTCTTAATTGGTGAGGTAAGAACATCAGAAAAACAAAAAGAGACCTTTTACAAAGTACTTTCACCATCATCATTTCATAATTTAAATGCTAGTAATGAGAAAGTAGGAAGAACCTAATTTCAGAATAAAGGATAGTTCTTTAACTTGAATATAGTTTGCCTTATGAAGAAGTTAGTACTGTGTACTTATTTTCTCCTTTTTTCTCCAGAGCATAGAAATTGTCACTGACAGTGCTTCACAGACCAGCATTTGGAAAGCACTGCCTTTGAGATCATCTAGTCCAGCCCTGAGAAACATCGCTGTACTAGGTTGTGCGATTTTCCCTGGATCTTACTGACAGTTAATGGCAGACTAGATGTCAGAGCACATGTTACCAGCATTTTCTAACTATGCTCCCTCTGTTATTTCTTCATCACATCCCACAGGCCGAGATTTTGTCCAGCTTTAATTCTGTCATTGATATTATGAAAACAACAGGTTGAGTCAGTATACATTTCAGACCACATTCTCCCCTTTCCTTCTCTCCCGCCCTCCTAGAATCTGATGATCATCCTTAGGGGATCATGGTGTTTGTTGGTGTTTCTCCTTACCTTGCATCTCAGACTGAGAAACACTGGCATTTTTATTTGTTTATTGTCATTCTAGACTAGCTAAGTTGGAGATAAGGCAGAACTAGGGAGGCAATTTGCCATAGTATGAATAGTTAAGGACAGAGGCTCTGGAGTCATACTGCCTGGGTTGGAATCTAAGCTCCACCATTCATTGATGCGTGACTTTGTGCAAGTTCCTAAGTCTCAGTTTTATCATCTGCAAAATGAGGATAATAATTCTATCTACCTGATAGGATTGCAGTGAGGTGAAATAATCAAATGCATTTAAAGTGCTTACTATAAGCTTGATAAACACTAGCTATTGGTATTTTGTAGTACCCAAGTTACTTCTTTTCTTTGTCTTTTTCCTCCGTAGGCTTTTCTGAGTGCATGGTTTAATACGGTTACACATACAAAAGGTGATACTAACTTCCCAATGAATGAACAGACCTTCTGTTAATTTTCTATTGCAACCATCTTTTGCTAATAGCTCCATGTTGTGCCATTATGAACTCCTGATCCAGGGCAGTGAATTGCATCCTGTACAGAGTTAATGAACCATCACAAATAGGATCAGCTCTATTAGTAATGCTGCTATTCATTTATTTTCATTATCCAAATTACCCCATTTATATTGTTGTAAAGCACAAAGCCAGTTTCTGTTCTAAATACATATATA